CCCCAAAACCCCAAAACCCCAAAACCCCATGCATCAATAATTCATCAAAGCAAAGAAATTATTATAATATATTATAGATAATATCAATCTAGAAGTATAATCATAGTTTTAAAGCACTCTCCTTCGTGCATAAACTTTTGAAAGATACACTTAAAGGAGAGTAACCAAACTAATACTCACTAGGATTCATTAAGGACTCTGGCTATTATAATGATTCTAAACCTGCATTATTATCGTTATCATTGTCTTAATTGCAATATATCTAGAAATTTTCTTGCAAAAGCATGGATATAAAATCCTCATCAATAACCAACCCGTTTTAAGTACTCTAATTATTTTAATTCGGGTCCATAAGTTTATTTTGAAGTTAATTTGAAGCAGATTCATCATCGTTAATACTCTCTGATACCTATTTTTCTCTAAACTTTTATGTTAACTATTTTTGTAATTGACTCTACAATTTTTACTTAGCTTGAGTGACACCTAATAAATAATAAAGAAATTTATAGAGCTACCAAATCTGTAGAACATTTTTAGAATAGAACAAGCAAGTATAAAGTTTATGATATCATTCACTAGAGACCTTGCTACTTCAAATATTGGGGATGGTTCTTCTGACATTATTTCATCTGTCATTATTGGGCACATGATATCTCTTAAGATAACAGAGGTTATGTAAAGTATTGTCAGCATTATTAACATAATGATAATCTAAATGTGAAAATTAAAATCAAATTGAGTTACGAATCTAAATTGTCTTTAATTAAGTTTCCTATTCTACGATGCTTAGCTCTAAGCTCTAAAAATTAGTAGTATTTACCTCCAGAATATAAATAGCATAATAATGTCAATAAAAAACTTAATTATTATCATTGACCTAGCGATTATTATAATTAACTTAAATATTTACAAGAGTAAGGAATTTATATAGAATCTCGTATTTGATTTTTTCATTGACAGTAGCTGGAAAAATGCAATACTTATAAAAGCAACAATCGCTGTGTATACAAAGATGTATACGAGCATTCCTCCTGAAATCTTCTTTCGGTACATATTTAATTCTTTAGGAGTAGCTGTTCTCATCATATTTATAGAAGTGTGACTATAATATGATTAATTTATATTCTATTACAATTTGAACACAAAAACATGTAACACAAGTAAGAATATGGAATCAGAAAACAAATCTATAGCTAAATAAGAATATGAAAAACTTTAAATAGCATCTTCATCCACTAGGTAATCTAGATAAAGAATATTTGATATCAAATTCACTATAAAATTAAGGTTATAGCTGATGTATGCAAAATTTACCTATAAAGCCAATCAAGTAAATAGCAATGATTGCCACTTAATATCGGTCAATTGTCCATCTTAATTTAAAAATTAAATGTATAGCCATTATTAAGTAAATTAGTGTAAACGATCCATTCATACAGAGTTAAAATATAGTCTCAGACTTTGTAAGCTAACTATCTGACATTCTATTATAAGGTGCAATTATTATAATTATTAAATCTTGTAAAATTATAATTATTCAGACGATGTAGGGGTTTTGGGGTTTTGGGGTTTTGGGG